CTCGATGCCACCGAGCCACGAGCCGGCCCGACTCGAACTTTTTCCCAATCGAGTCCGGGCTGCTCGAGCTGCCGAACTTTTTTGACATTGCTATCCAGCGCAACCGTCGGTGATGCTTCTTTCTATTTGCTTCAAATCTGACTGGTCGTCTCCACAAACTCCGACCACCGTATCTCTATTTGCTATAGATCTGATGGCTTTGGGTTAGGGATATTATGGCTTATTGGGCGGCGTTATTGGAGGTGTGAAGGAAGCCGTTTGTTGTTTGCAGTCGTAATCACAGCAAGAAGGCTTCGAGCTTGGTGGAGGTGTGATTTGGATGGATCGGCTTGGAAGAACACCACTTGAGGTTTGTGAGAATGGGTGGTGAATATTTTGTGGTTTGAGTAGAAGTGTTGGTGGAGGCTAATGAAGTGGCAAGAGATTTTTGGGCTTTTCAACGGTGGCTGTAAGTGATATAGCAAGAGATTTCTATGAGGTGTTTTTGGTGAAGTGGTGGAGGTGATGTGGTGGTGGTGGTGGTTGTTGGTTTTTGGGATTTTGTTGGTGTTTTTGGAGCTGTAACAAATTTGTTGGTTGTTGGAATGATGGTGGCAGTGGTTTTCATATTTGGTGGTGATTTTTGTTGGGGCAATGGTGGTGGATTTAACGATGGCGTGTTTTTGTTGGATCAACGGTGGATCTGACGACGGCTTTGTTGGATTTAGTGGTGGTGGTGGATTTGACGGTGGCAGTAGTGGTTTTGTAGTTGAAAATGATGGTTTGTTGGTGGTTGTAGTGGTGGTGACCTAAAAATTTAGCCCTTATTTGACATCAATTTTTTCCACATTCTCATTCTCATTTTTTTTCTCTTTCTTCATTTCAACCACACATTTTATTAATAAAATAATATTACATATAAATCCAAAAATTCTCCTTACTTTTTAACCACTCATTCTTCCATCAATCACTATTCCAAATCAAAATTTTCTCCAAAATTGGTGTCAAACACACTTAATTTGCGACTTAAGAATTTGTTAAGTTGTGATTTATAATTTGATAATTTGTGATATAAAAATAATTTTTGACCAATTAATTTGATATTTTGTAACTATGAAATAAGTTGTGACTTAAAAATTTTTGAATTGTGACTAAGAAATAATATATGACCTATTAATTAGATAAATTTGTGATTTATGACAGTGTCATTTGTAATTGTTACTAATACATAGTTTTGATCATAAATTATATAATATAGCAACCTTAATATATTTAATTAATAAAATATGTATTTAATTAATTATTTCATAAATAAATTTTAATTAATATCTAATTTTTGAAATAATAAATATTGTTTCTTAGTTTTGAAATGGGTGATATGAAATTTTCCTTTTTCTAAATCGAATTAGTTGGTTTGGTTTGGTTTCTTGTTGGTCTTGAATTTAATTATTCAGTCGTTGTTCACTCTTAATTATATGTAAATCAAAACTAATCTGATTTGTCAGTGTTACTGAATGTTTAATTGCATAGGAATTTTCAATAAGAAAACAAAGTGACACTAAGGAATGAATTTTAGAGCCTGTTTGATTACAAATGTGAAATTTGAGTGGCAATAAAATAAATTATAGGGAATTGAATTGCCTAAAATTTGTTTTATTGGAAATTGTAATTAATTGTGTTGATTGGTATGATTTTTCACATGAAAAATGTTGAAAGTTTGGTGTCCGTTTGACTTTATTTTTCATGAAAATTGTCTATGAATTTTTTTTACCATTGGGTCTAGAATTTGATCCAATTGTCAAAAAATAAATATTATCATACCGAATATCATTCGCTTGACTTTGTTTTGCATGAAAATTGTCAATAAAAGTGACAAATTTTTTAGCATTGTGTTTAAAATTTTTCCCAATTGCAAAATAAATAAATAAATAATAAAAACTGAAAAATCAAAAACCACCAAAACAAAAGGAAAACAAATTCATTGATTGCAAGGAAAAGAGGCGCGTGAGTATAATGGTTGGAAAACAAATTTCAGGTAAATTTTTGCAATCAAACAGGTAAAAAATAGGAAAATTCCATTTTCCATGGAAAATTTGTAGTATCAAACAGGGTCTTGTAGTTTTTGAATGAATAGTGCTATCTAACATCAATGGTGTTAGAGCACAAGTTTAGGTGGTAACATTTGATATGATTAATTAAATTAATCACGTGACATTGCATTTAAATGAGTTTTTCATTTACCCATTGTTTGATACACATTATTTCCAAAATTTATTTTTTTCTATTCTTTTCAACCATACATTATTCAATTAAATATCACACGCAAATTCAAAAGTTTTCCTTATTTTTTAACAACACATTCTCTATCAATATATTATTTTAAAATGCATTTTTCAGAAATAATGTGTATCAAACAAGCTCTTAATGTCATGTAGTTGCTACCTAAACTAGTGTTTGACATCAATGGTATTCAATAACATTACTCTTTTTGAATAGGAGTTAATTACTTGATTGGTTATTGAATTTTATGTAAGGTTTTCAGAAGGTCATTGTATTTCAAAAATTTCCCTATTAGTTACTAAACTTTACAAATGTAATATCATATATCACTGAGATCTTCAAAAGTTTCCCAGTCAGTCACTAAACTTTACAAAATATAATCACATCCATCACTTAGTGATTAACGGGGAAACTTTTGTAAAGTTCAATTACTAACATGGAAACTTTTAAAGTTCAGTGACTTCTTGATTACGCAAAGTTTAATGACCAATCAAGTAATTAACTAATCTTTGTGTTTTTTAAGTCTTTTTTTCTATTCTCATATCTCACAATTTTATTCTCTAAAATCGCCAAACTTAGAAAAAAAAAAAATCTTTTATTCTAGAAATAACCGATAAGGTTGTCAATTGATCCTTCTAAGATCAAAGAGACAATAGAAGATAGTTCTATGGACTGATTCAACTTCGATCGTCTTCCAACTTTCACGCCTCCAAATAGATGAATTCTAGCACCACCATCTTCTATTGTCCATCTATTGCCAATGCAACGCTGGGGAGAGAACATATTCCAGGGGTGTTGGTTTGTTTAGCAGTTGGGCGTTGACGGATGGGTGGGTGGACTTGATTGTTGAAGATGACAATTTTCTTTTCTTTTCTTTTCTTTTTTTGTGTGTTTTAATTTGTTTTAAAAATAAATCTCACTTAAAACAA